ATCATGTTGTATGAATACAAATACAGTCTACAGACGAAATTGGAGTAACGTTAGCGAAGTTAGACTGTTGACTTATAGGACTGTGTTCGTTTAATTTTATGAACTTTATTGGTATTAAATGTTTTGAATGAGCACGTTTGAATATATTAAAACCTTTATACTTCACAGTAACACTTAAATATTTATGAATGTGAGCTTAGTAGTCTGCGGTTGCAGTAGTCTAAACTCGCCTACGGCAGTCGCCCGTCAACTCACCAGTCGAGCAAACGCTCTGCGACGTGACGTCATCGATGCTCGAGGTAAAGACAACTCGACTACCGAGCAACGAGAGGCAGTCAACTCACTAGTCGAGCAATCGCTCTGCGATATAGATGCTCGAGGTAAAGACAACTCGACTACCGAGCAACCTCACCAGTCGAGCAATCGCTCTGCGATATCGATGCTCGAGGAGAAGACATTGCTTTGCAAAACGCAGACTCAATAGTTGCATAGCATTTACTTAGTGCCGACTGATATTAGTTGTAAGCCAACTCACCACGGCAAGGTTTCAGTCATAGAGTTGAAATTTCTTTTTGCAGAAGAAAACCTGGAACAGATAGGCACTGTCGCTGCGCCTGGCAAAAAAAACTGGGCCGAAAAATGGATAAAAGATGTTTACTTTTTGTTACGATTGATGAATTTAACCCTTTCCGTGCGGTGGGCACGTATACGTACCCACGACAAAAGTAGCTAGATTGCGGCGGGTACGTTGATGTACTCCACTGATTTATTTAGCAATCGGTCGCAAACTGTTGGTATAATGTTTCCGGGTTTTATTTATTGATAAGAAGTCTTCTTCGAGATCACCATAAGCGACGGTAAATCTCACTTTCGTTTATGACGGAAATTTTATTTGCAGTGGAACGAGGGAGTGTTTTTGAAATTTATGCAAATTTCGGAGTTTTTTGGGTGGTAATAGAAGATATATTATCCCTTCCATCTACCAAAGTATTTTGAGTTGGATCACGAAATTGCTACAGCAATATTATGCTATTGTTTGCCAACCACGAAGCGGTAACAGTAAAAGATTTAGCGAATATTTCTATTTTTTATCGCGGTTTGAAGTTTTAACTCCCAAGAAAAAAACATGCCTTTTTTCTATCCGGTTTGTGACTCAGACCACCACTTTTAAAAAAACTTTATTTTTTTTAATCGCCAATTGCAAGCTCTTTAAATAAGCTTTCCAACGAGCCGTCAGTGGGCAGCAGAGGATCATTAGTTTTTCGTTAGTCGATCGATTAGTTGTGGGGGTACAAATGCATAAAATCGGCGTAGCAAATACGATTATTTAATAAAAAATAAAAATCGCATGGAAAGGGTTAATATGATATTTGAATACTAAACGTTAAGGGAAAATTTAATAGATGGAAGGTTTTGTTTTCTTTCTTCTGCGTTACCCACTTACTCTTTGCAATACTGTGGCCCGTAGATCCTCGAACACCTCTGAAGAAGAGAGTCCACAGATAACTCTCCTTCTTTAAACTGTTCCCAGACCCGTTGCACCCTTTCGTTGGCTTCCGCATACCTGCCGTTGACACGCCCCACAACATTCTCTTCCAAAATCTCCACAACGTCCGCCTTCATCCCTACACTTACCTCGTACATTGTTGAGATTGAACTGTAAAAAGGCATATTTTTCCGAGTTATACTGTTAAAATGGCGGTGCCAACCTTCCAGATGGTTGTTGGTTATTATTTCCACGTCGAATACTGACCAATCATTGGGAGTCCAGACACTGTTGTATAGCCATGTGTTGTGTTTTGAAAATATTCGGCGAAGTTCTTGAGATCTTGAGTTTGCGTCTTTTCTTTCAGTGATTTGAATCTGGACGTAATAAACATAGCTGGTATTTAGCACAGCACCATGACATGCTTGATCAGGTCTCTTGTTCCAGCGTCCCTAAAACAAAATAAAAACACGTTAGTACAAAAGAAGTGAAAGATGTACAAAGACATATATAAATATGGTTACCCACTCACTTGTTGTAAAGGCGAGCCAAATTATTGTGATGCACATTCTTCATGATAGCCTGAGTGAAATGATATCCATGCACGGAGATTAGATAAGGTGCCAGATCGGTGATGATGAAGCTGCGCGCCGAGATTAGTGCTCGGTTATCGCCGAGTTTAAAGCCTTATTATCGCCGGCCTGACATCTTACAAACGTAAATACTCATTAGCCGAGGTCGTTTTCATCACAGTTTTAAACTGGAACGAAGACGACTAACGGTATATTAACTCCACAAAAACTACGCAAGAATTCAAGATGACTACTCCAAATATGTGCAAGAGATGTGACGACAATGTTTCCATGAAGCAGGAGGGACTCATCTTATAATTTTCAAAGTGATGCTAAACTGTTTATAACCCAATGTGGAAAGTGGGAATATAGAAATAAAGTAAAATATGACAATAGATATCAGATGCAATGTGATATACGTGCTATTTTAAAATGTAAGATTTTGGGCGTCATTAAATTAATGTCTGATGTTGATAGACAAGATCTTCTCAATGAAGGAATAGTGGATAACCTACTCATAAAGTCTATAATGATTTGAAAATATTTGGTTTACATAGGTGGTAAACATAAGCATAAATTGTTGTATTTTCTATACGATATGTTTATTTGGGTGTCTGATGGATAATTTTTTATGTTAGAGTTAAATAATAACATTTACTTGGACAGGAAATAGGAAAATCCTATTAGCATGATAGGTGTTCAAATTTGCTGTCTAATATTTATAAATTTTGCTTTTCCATACTAATATAAAATAAATTTAATTACATTCACGATGATGACAATTGGGACAACAATTAACTAAATCAATTGGAACTACAAACAATGAATTGCTGATATTGAATATGTAAATGTATGGGTATTGTACATTTAAATTGCAAAATGACTTTTCTTCATTTAAACGGAATTCAAACCATGCGATTGTATTCCGATATCAATTACTGTAACTGCTACCAAGCCCATGACACCCATCATGACTCCAACCCGATTGTTGTATCCCAGCAGATCCAACCTGGCCGTCGGCTGGTAGACTACAACTAATATCAGTCGGCACTAAGTAAATGCTATGCAACTCCTGAGTTTGCGTTTTGCAAAGCAATGTCTTCTCCTCGAGCATCGATATCGCAGAGCGATTGCTCGACTGGTGAGTTGTCTGCCTCTCGTTACTCGGTAGTCGAGTTGTCTTCACCTCGAGCATCGATGACGTCACGTCGCAGAGTGTTTGCTCGACTGGTGAGTTGACGGCCTGTCGGGCGACTGCCGTGGGCGAGTTTAGACTACTGCAACCATAGACTACTGAGCTCACATTCATAAATATTTAAGTGTTACCGTGAAGTATAAAGGTTTTAATATATTTAAATGTGCTCATTCAAAACATTTAATACCAATAAAGTTCAAAAAATTAAACGAACACAGTCCTATAAGTCGACAGTCTAACTTCGCTAACGTTACCGGGTACTCCAATTTCGTCTGTAGACTGTATTTGTATTCATACAACATGATCAAAATAAGCTACTTATACAAATAAAAATGCTTTCTGGAGCATATTTATGTATTTTTCCCAACATTTGAGCACTGAAAATATCAAAAACGCATTTCTATAGACCTAAAACACCACCGTAGAAAATGTCGAAAGACGGACAACTCACCAGGCCCCTAGGTAGTCGAGTTGTCTCTGGTGAGTTGTCCGTGTAGTCGAGTTGTCCGTCAGCCGTGTCTTTGACTGTTTGACTTAGGTAATTGCTATCTTGTTGTATTACTTTTACTTTATATCTTTCGTTGGTAGTTACGATCAATTCTGTCAATCTTATATACCGATACTGATATACCGGTAGGAGATAGATACAGTCTGATATTCTACAATAATAAGTCATATTGGGTTGGTACCCGTAGTCGATGCTTTCATTTTCTAAAGAATCATTTTTTTCTAAATTCTGAATAGATATTTATAATTGAGAATATACCATCGATAATGACAAATCTAAACACTCTGATTATCCATGAGCGAATGTTTCTTAGTCACCGGTATAGTACTAGTATGTTTGAATCTAGGCATTGTTGACTTCAAAACTGATATTAAAAGTGTTATTGTTTTCACTTAATTGAAGTTTCATATATAACTATCAGCATGCCAATGTTATTTTACCGTCCAGAAAACATTCTCTACTCTAGTATACAAATATTTTTTATTATACTTCTGTAATTTTTATTTAGAATATGTTCGACATATCAATAAGGATATCTTTTTATTGACTTCATCCATTCTATTGCATTGCAATATAATTACTTATTGGTAAAAATAGATAATATGGAAGATGAGCAGAACAGTCTAGAAAATGATTCAGAAATTGAGGAAAAAATGATGAATACGATTCCGCGCATGCGTGTCATGTATCCAGAAGCAATAACCAAATCAATACAAAGAATAAATGCTTTTAAAGCATCCATCCATCAGAAACAGGTCTTAGAATACAAACTGAAAATTGCAGAAATGAAGGATTACACTACTGACACATCATCTCTGGATTATGCTTTGAACAGAATGAAATCTTCATCGTGGTATAAATCGAGAGACAGCCTTGAATAAAGCTTAAAAGATATAAATATCAATTGATTTTTAAAGTTGAAGACTCTTTTTAATATGGAATATATTGATGATATACAAAAATAAATTTATTTATTCAACAATTACATTTTACTATGGTGCTGTCACATTATCGATATAATAGACTTAGGTTGTTGAACATAATTTTTTTCTATAAAAGCCACTGCTAAAATGTTATAGCACTTCAATAATATTCTATAGATTGAAGATTAAATTCACATTTTTCATCAATGTTATCACTGCCTACAGTTAATGTTTCTTAGTTTTTAAACCTTTTTCATCATATTTTCTGGTTGAATGTACCGGTACTTAATTGCTTATTTTAAAAAAAAATGTCAATATCGACAATGTACCGCATGTATGTATGTGTATATATTTTTCAGATAAATTGAGGTAATGTAGCATAGCAAATGTAAATATGCATGACGAATCTAATACCTCAGCTTGGATTTGCCCTAATGATCGTCATTTGGCACTCAGAGCTAAGTTGAGGTAATTATAAATACAATAATAATAATCATTGATTTGAAGAACAAAATTATTCACAATTTTTGACAAATTTCTACAATTTTCAAGCTTGACTGATAATGAAATAGGTTAGAGATATAGATAAAACTTGTTCATTGAATGAATAATATTTTCACTCAATCATTTATTGCTGTTTAATTTTATGAAAAAGCAATCATACACCATACTTAATTGAGTCCCCTTTCGTGGTTGTAACCTAAACAGCAAAAGTTGAAAAAGCTCTTTTGTGAAAATGGGAGAAATAACAGTTTTTCTTGTGTTATTGTCGGATGATAATCTTTTAATACCCAATGGACTTTGTGCTGCCACACTTGGGTCATGCTGTATGCGCACATTTAGAAAAGTTATTAATGTAAAAAAAAAAGACCTATTAATTATATTTAGGTCAGGATGGTCGGTAAGAACAAATCAGTTTGGTCGAACAGAATCAAATTCTCTATCTCATGATGAATTAGAAAAGATACGAAATGTAATAAATAAAGCAAAAATGTTGGAAGAAACTGAACAGGAAAGGGTCGGGTATGAAATTCAATAATTTTGATAAATAAGACTTTGATTTTGGTTGCCGATGGCATTCATGCATCAGTCGTAAATTTTTAATTTTTTTTTTTAATTTCGATTTTTGTGTGTTATCTTGATAGATGAAATGGCAAACCATGGCGTTTTTCTAGTTTCCAGTTCAGATCAGGCATCGAAATAATAATTCACCAATTTTGATTGATTGGGAAAGCCATACCTCACGAGCGGTTACGTAAACCACCCTGCAACAGATAAGAGTCCATTAATCCTCATATCCTCTCACACATATTTTTTCACACAGTATTCATACCTCTAAATCCATGCGAGGTAATTCGAGGTATGGTAAAATGTATAAAACATTGAACCTAACTCAGTTTGTCTATTGGTTTATAAAGTCATTTATTATGTTCATTTCTAGGTCACTCGTGCATCACTTGAACATAATGCGACAGAATTCAATGGGAGATGGTCAAGCAACTTGCATTCTCTGTGCAGAACAGTTTGGGAAATTTTCGAGAAATGCACCAATCATTTGTATGGATTGTAAGAAGGTAACTCTGCTTGTCAAATTGCCAAACTTGAAAAAAAACTTCAATTTTTTACGTGTTTAATGACAGTTTCTATTTTGAGTGCAGTGATTGTTCCTTGTGATTCATATTATTATAAGTCTGCTATATTGTAATATTTGTAATTATCTTAGCTTAGACTAAGCCTAATTCTCCTGTGTATTACAATGGCGGTAGCCCAATTCAAATTTTATCTGAAATACTATCATTAAAATTAAAATAATTTTCCACTTTCTTCGCTACAGAAAGTCTGCAACAAATGTTGTGTGGATTATGATACAGGACAACAACATATAAATGGAAAACAAAGTTCTGCTCAGGTAGGCCCCATTACTTCAATATATTTCTTATTATAATTGATAGTAGATGTTACTTTTTTGATCATACTTACTTACTTTAATCTTTTAAATTGAGCCTTTTTTAAGCTAAAGTTCATACTAATAATCATTAGATATTTGTTATCCAATTATTGAGTATCAAGGTTATGATTTCTGACAATTTCATCTAATTGATTGTTATTCTCCATTCTTGTCCTCCGTATTTCCTATTACCGGTAATTACAGCCCAATCACCCATACATTTTTATTTATTTATGTATATACTTTAGGTGACCAAGTATGTATGGTGCACTAATGATTAAAATTATGGATTTTTACATAGTGAGAATTATTTAAATTTTACTCGTTGGATTCACCAATTTAAAATTACAGTTTACAAAAAATTGTTGGATATTAAAATCTGAAAGATATAGAAATTTGTGTTTTGCACTCATTGAGGGCATAATCTTACTTCATACTGCCAAATATTTTGTTGCCTACCTATAAGTACAAGTATTTGTATAGTAAAATTACATTATAATATTACATTCCTCCCCATTATGGAAAGTCCCAGCCCCTGCATGAGGGTATGTTAAAATACTTTAAGGACTTTTGTAAGAAAAATTCATAAACCCTTTGTGGATTGCAATGTACCATCGAAGTTACATTTTAAATTGAGATCAAGAATTTATTCTACAATCTACAGAGTGATTAAAATATTTTTTTTGTTACTCCATATAAAGCATACCTGAGCTGAGATGCATATTATACTTTTACAGAATCTATCTATGAATTGGTTATGTAAGATCTGCAGTGAAAATCGAGAACTTTGGAAACGTTCTGGTGCATGGTTCTTCCAATCACTTCCAATGTATGTTTGCTTTATCGTTATTAAGTTATATGTTTTTTTGTGAACTTTTGTTGAATTTGTGAAATTGCAAACAGATGAAGTATTTTACTTTATTTCATACACCTTTATATGCCAAACATTATTTGTACGAAGCACACTTTTATTTCCTTATTTAATTTAGGACTTCAAGAACACTCAAAAAATGAAAATTTCCTTTCAGCGCTTGTTTTGTATTAATTAGAATTATCATGTTGGTAATATAAATGTCTTCCATATTTCTACTAGATTGTCAGACTTTATAAATAACAATCAAATATGCATAATATTTCATTTTGTTTTAGATACAAGTTGCCGAATTTCAGGCATTCCGATGTTGACCATATTGAAAGAAGGCCTCAACGACGACCTTATGTCCCTGAAGTCATTGATTCGCCTAAAATGCATAGGAAAGATGTTCTTGCTCTTCCAGATTCACCGGTTGTGGGTGGCAAAGGGCATCGTAGGACGGTTTCTGCTGGTTCGACTGGGTCATTTCAATGGACTAAGCCATCAAGTATGTCCAAATTTCGACAAATATTATTATTGAAATTGTAAATGTGTCATTGTAATGAAAACTAAATATTGATATATTTGGATTTATCTGATCCATATGTATTAGTTCCACAATTCTCTGACTGATCTTTGTTTGAAACAGGAAATGTTTGATCATGAAAATGGAAATCATTGACTATGTCACAATCAACTATTTTACATATCAATATAGTCACAATCAACTATTTTACATTTCAATATAATATTAAAAAACGTCAGTGTAAACTACAATATAGATGAATTTTTGGATTATAAAACCCCTATTTTTGTATTTTAGAGATTCATTTGACAAGTAGTTCTGAGTTTGAAGAAAGCTCATCAGATGACGATGGAATAACTTTAGGAAAAACCAATAAACCATCAAATATGCAACTGAGTATGTATTATTTAATGTACTGCATTTATGTTTGTTTTATTATACCTGATTTCCAACCAAAGACAAATATAGTCGTTCTCGTAAAGGAATTTTGCTTTGTTTTTGGGGTACTATTACTGATATTTTTAGTTCTTTATTATTACCAAAATACTTTGCTACTAAAAAAGTTTGCATGCAAAGTGAGGGAGAAATAAAGAGAGAATAAAGGCCGAAGATTTGGGAAGATTTTCTTTTCAATCAAACCGTTACCTTATCTTGTATCAGAAATTGAAGTATTTTCGTATTTTATTTTACTTCAATTTTGACATAATCAGGATTTTTTGGATCTTTCGTTATAAATTTTCAAATCTTCTTAAAATATTCAAGTGATTGTACTTGGGTATTAATCATCAATTCCAATTGTGATTGGTGGCTAGGGAATGTAATTTATTACAAATCCCTAAGGATATTAGCAACAAATTCACGCTTATATTAGATTGTCCTCCTGCTGTTTGGGTGTTTAGTAATCTCTTTATGGATTTCTATGCTTATTGAACCTACCTTGTTTTATTCATGTCATTATTCTTTTTTTCATACTTAGGTTGGCCTATGTATTAGATTATGACGTATTGATTGAATTTAAAATAATATCATTGATCTTTAGAATTAAGAATAAAAGAAATAGTAGACTGTGAAATGAATTGATTTTGAAATTTGAATATTCTCATTGGATGTTTTTTTTATAAAAATTGTAAGTTTTTCGAAATTATGGCTTTCAGTTCAGGCATTGTTGAAATAAGCGTAATCAAATTAACTATCCAGCTATGATTTTTTAGCAATCACATGAACATGATAATATTTATTAATAAGTACCGTAGTATTCAAGTTATATATTGGAGTCTTTGATGAATTGTGTTATTTTTTAAACAAAAAATAGAAGAGAGTATTTATAGTAACGGAATGTAACATTTTAAAAATGATACATGTGGCTTATACACGGACGGACGTCGAATTGTCAACCATCGAAATTAGAAAATTCCTATTCTTAAATGATATTAAATATTTATTACAGTCAAATCACCCACAAATTTTTATCTATATATGAATATACTTAAAGTGACCTAAGTATTTATGGTCCAATTATGATTAAAACTATGGATTTTTACATGGTGAGAATTATTCAAATTTCACTCTTGGGAATCAACAATTTAATATTACAGTTTACAAAAAAATTGTTAGATATTAAAATCTGAAAAATATAAAAATTTGTGTGTTTGCACTTATTGAGGGCCAAGGCGTAATCTTACCGGTACTTATTTTATTCTGCCAAATATGATGTTGCCTACCTAAAAAGTAAGGGATAAATCACTATCAAACAGATCAGTCATTAAATATACCTTTTCCGTGATTATTAATATTCAATTGGCAAATTTATTCGCAAACATTCGATATGTTTATTTTAGGCTTGGAATATATATATATATATATATATATATAAAACTGAATTGTGTAATAATTAAGTATTTTGAGAATTTGATTGTTAAAAAAGTGATTCATAGCTGACTAACTAGTGGTAACAAAATAAAATTGCTTCCATTGAACAACAGGAAATGCTTAGCATAATTGTGAGTCATAAATAGAAACTAGCACACACTGGCACTTCTAAATTTGGTTGTTTTAGTATTGTTTTATATTGAATGGGTTTCATCACATTCGTAACGCAGCGTCTTAACATAATTCAGTTAGTTTCGCTATTGCGTAGTTTAAAGATTTATGGTAAAATGGACATTATCCATAGCTTCCCAATATCTGATATTTTAGTGTTTAATAATGAATTGAAACTTCAGTCTAAAAGTTCCTAAATTAAATTATAAATCCAACTTATTGAATCGTTTTATTGGAGATTTCTTCCATTTTTTTAGCATTTCTATTTTTACCTGTAACATTTCCATAAAGGACTTAACATTGAAAATAGCAATGTGACTTTGTCAAAGCTGGAAATATCAGCAAGTATTTTAAAAAGGAGTGATAATAATCACTTGGACTTTCATATTATTTTGTTAAGAAATTTTCAGGTTTTTATGCTTATATGTATTTTCAACAATACACAGGTCTATTCAAACAGCAGTCTCATTTTAATATAACTTACTTTTTGTTGGTAACGCAAATATTCTAAAATAACCAAAAAGTTTATTCTTTTAAACTTATTCAAAAACTAATAATAATGCTAGTATATCATAGATGCATAAATATCCTGAATCATTGATAAAACAGGATAATATCTTATTTTCCCCAAGTTTTAATCACATTTTACACTGATTAATGATGAGAATTGTCAGAGAATTTGAGACAATTTCCTTATAATATGCTAGCAATTGTCTCATTCAGAAATAAACATAACCAGATATATTGTAATTTTAGGCTAGCTTCGGGGGTTTGCAATAATCTATTTTGCTGCATAATTTGTGACTATGTAAATATGTAATATATTATAAAGTATTGTTTTTTCGAAGTCATTCATATGTATTGAATAACATCACACAAATATTACATCACAATTTGAAACAGAAAGATGAAATGAGTAATTTTTGAGGTCAGGCAACATACATATTTAAAATGTCCCAACACTACATGCGGTGTCATTTTTCTGGTTAAAGTAGGCAGAAAATTATTTGAATGTCTAAAATTGTCCCAATAAGACCCAAAACTGATCTATTTCCCATGAAAAATTAATGGCGGTCGGCCGTAGAATAACCTACCTAATGACATCGTTAATTATTTATTTTTTAAAAATTGTCACGAAAATTTATATGTGTATCTTACACAAGGCTTTAAATTGAATACCAAAATCAATATGCTAATGTAATTTCTTACATGATTGAGAATGTTGATGTACAATGAGTATTTTATTAATAAGGATTAGAATTTTTTAATCACATTAACGAATGAATTCTTGCCGAGTTGCCTTAGTGGTTAGAGCAGTGGTTTTCAACCCTTTGTTGGCCTGAAACCCCAATGAAACATTTGAGAAGCTCATGAAACCCCTTTGCGATAGTTTGCAACAATTATTGTCTGAATTGTATAAACTATATTGTATACGTATTTAATAGCAAACTTAATACTGTTAAGTAATGGTCTTCAAAATGTAGCAAATTTAATAACAGTGGCCAACCTAATAGGTATTTGATCATATATAAACAATGGATTATCATATATGGAAGTATACATAACATGAGTATATTGAAAGTTGAATTAAATGTTTAATTGAATTACTTTAATGGTGTATACGAGAACTTTGTAAATGTATTCTACAGACATATTATTGAGACAACAATTGTATTTTATGTTCGTTGAATTCTGTTTTTTTCAAAGGGAGTATTGATACAATCAGTCTCACCAGCAGCACAAGTGCCACAAGTACAGGGCAACAATCAACTGGAAGTTCAGGTACCTTCCTAAATATTTTCTTGTTGACATGAACAAATTTGTTAATAATAATGTCATCAGTAGTGTAGGGGTATCATTGCGTTCATTACGCTTCATTGGTCCTCAGATTTGAATCCGTAGTGATTCACGGTTTACAAGAATATTACGGAACTCCCCACATTGTCTTGGGGATATTCACTGGTAGGTTTCAATTTACTCTACCATCATCACCAAAGTCTATGAATCCGGAAGTCTACCGCACAGGCAACTAAATAATAAGAGTCCATAGTTCGCCATATAAATGAGATTTTTGGATTTACAGAATTTCATTTTATTCATCATCTGACATTACTTATTACGGTTGGACGTTTTTAATATAATTTCATGTTTGTAATAGGTGCTCATGATTTAGCTTCAGGCATATTGCAAGAAAAAGTAATTAGTTATTCAGGAATATTAGATAACGTCCAATCATGAGTATGTTTGTTCGTGCTTATTGAGTAATTTATTATTGATATTATGTTCCATGGCTTATTAACCCTCTTGAGATGTTGGATAATCTGAAATCAATGCATAGATTATATATTTATAGATTTTTATAACACCACGAATTAGAAGCTTACAAGGCTGTTTACCAATCCACCTTGTCTGTAGGGGTTGTCTACATTACCTAAATAGTGTAAATAATGGAACTAGTGTTCAGCTTCAATTGGCCTGGCGATTGACCTTTGAGCGTTATGCCAAAATTGGCATTGCAGTTGCAGGTTTGAGTTTAAATCTCATGCCCAACCTATTTGGGATTCCGGTCCTTTCAAAAAAAGTATCTCCATATGTATCAGTAAATATCAATGGAAGTTTCTACTGGACCATGATCAAGGCGATGGGCGTGAATAAGCGTCCCTCAAAAAATTTTGACGTTCAAGTTCTGTAGATATCCAAAGAAATATGTTAATATAACTGGAAATTGAAACATTGCTCTTTAGAAGAGTATGTTTATCATACTTGAGTACTTTGGCATACCCAATATATTGATTTAAAATAAACTGTGATATATATTATATAGAAATGATATGAACAAAATTCTAGAATATTTAACTATTTAGTTTCCAGTTTGTTTTGTCTGTACTCAAGAAGTTATCTGCATATTCTCACAAGATGTAGTTTTGTTTACCCTATGCTCAGACAATTAGAAATGTCCTTAAATGTATTAATTTTATTTTTTCAACTTTTTACAGTGTCTCGTCGATCATCTGGTAGGAGAACATTCCGTGGCAAACAACAACAAAAACCTGAATTTCCTAAAGTTACAGTGACGGATGAATATGACACCGTGTCCATGGATAGTGGGGTGACAGATAGATCTGTAGAAGGTAGAGCATGAAGACTAATTACTTATCTATTCTTATATTTACTATTGACTTCTGTTTTTGTTTAAATTATGCCTAATAATTACTTGTTTAGTTTGTGGTTTGGAATACCTTGAAGCAACTTGAAAATTGTCATTAGTTTACAACAGTGGTTCTCAAACTTTCTAAGCTGCTCCCCACCTCAAAAATAACTAGCCAACAAAGGGCTAACAGATAGTAAGGCAAAAGTATGTTTCATTCAAAAAACATGATGAAAATACATGGATGGAACGTTAATAATGAAATAAATGAAAAGTGTTGAAATCTAAATATTCAAAATAAAGGCAAGTGAGATACAATCTAACAAATATTTTTATTTTTAAATATCCTCACACCCCCTCAAAAAGCTGTCTGTGAGATATCCAAACGATCTAGTAATAGTCTTCTGTTTGTTTGTTTTTAATTGTATTTTAGTTCATTGTTGGACACTAACAAATTTTATATTTATCAGTTGGTGGTGCGCTTTTATCATGGTGATATTTCATTGCTTGTCTATCTGATATCACTTTCTACCTACACTTCTGTTTTACTTGATAACATTTCAGATGACAAACTAATGACTGACATGTCTACGTTGCATGGGGGTTCTGTATCTAACGAAGATGCTAAATCTATATCGGGTGGTAAAGGTCAGATATTTTCTCGGTTTTACTAACCTCCTCATTATGGGATTTCGGCAGCAAGACTTTTTAATCACTTAGGATAGTTATATTTACTCTTGCTACAGCATCCTTGCATTATATGCATACGGATCCGCCGGCACAAAAGTATAGACGAATGATAAGTAGTTAGTCACGCAGAAACCATATCATTAGCGCAAGTGGTTTAAACTTGTGTTATTTATGATTTTACAAAATGCTCATTCAGTTTTTATTATCATTCGAAGTCTGTGTGTTTCATGCCTAATGAGAACGAAGAATTTTAAATCCTTCCAACTAAAAAGATAAAACTAAAACTAACTAAAAATAATTTAGAGTTGACTTATATTGGTGTTAATATTTCCATATTTATAATAATTGAAATTAATATTAAATGGTAAGAAATTTAGCAACATTTTATTGTAGAAGTAGATTTTTCTAGAATATTTGAAATCAATTGGAATTTGTTTGGGATTCTTCAAATACCTAATAGATCTATTTGATTTAGAAAACAGAGGAAATCTTGAGTTTTCGATTCTTTATGATCCACTCAAATGTGCTCTCCAAGTTGAACTTATCAGAGCTAAGGTAAGCTAGACTATATATTATATTACTAATAGACTAAAATAACTCTTTAATACCCCTAGTTGATTGGGTACTCCGTAGTGTGTGTACCAGGTTAGAGTTAGGCCATAATTTTATTCCGATTTTCATTATTTTAGTTCTATTGCGGGTTCGGGGAGTGTCTGTGTTAGCTCAGTGAATATACCCCCTGCCCATTGGTTTCAGTTCCTTTACACAACTTGATGTATAGTAGGCGAACAATATTAGTTACCGTATATGCTCGCGAATAGGCCGAGTTTGAAACTCAAAAAAAAAGTTGCCAAACTAAGGGACCGTCTTATTCGCGCAAAGCTCAGATTGCACCAAAAAATCGGCTCATTCGCGCATCAGAATTTGATCACGCAACGAGATGATATTATGCTGACTTGCCGGTTCTTCCAAAAGCTTCAAACCATACCAAGTTCTCACGATAAAAAGCGTGCACGCACACACACAATCGCTTGTGAAGGTGGATTGTCTTATCATACAGCTGATGGCTTGTACAGTCTGTGATTGGTTGTTTAACATGTGACGCTTGTACAGTCTGTGATTGGTTTGTTTTCGCTCGCTTGTGCAATAGTGTCGATTTATGGCCAGTTGTTTCGTGGTGAAAACGTTATTATAACGCCGTAGAGGCAATTAACGGCGCACAACTTTTAATCACCTTTACGATATGTTATCCGATAAGAGGCGGTGATAAGGACTCTTATCGAAATTAACCGCGTTGCGGACGATCAAAGGAAATTGTTTTATACTGACTCAGGGACTCTCTTAACCCTCTCCGGGAATGCGTAACACGTATGCAACAACATATTGTAAACTAGCTATCACCCACATTTTCTGCCGTAGAATGCTTTTTTCTACTCAGCGCACTACTGCGGTACTTAGTTGGTTAGATGCAACTGCTATTTTGCATTGCAGCCGCCTGATGACGCTGCAAGCGTCTCTTGCAAGATGCGGTCCCCGGTGCTCGTGTCAGGCTGATGAACCATGGTCATATTTTAAGCAACTATACCAATTCTTATACACCGAATTCGTCATATCACTGCACGGGGCAAAAGAATGGTGTATACACAAGCTTTACAAACTGATTGCAACCTCGATAGATTTATGTGGTTTCACGAGGGGATGGTTTAAAATTGATGTTGCATAGGTGCAACATCTTCCCTCAGAAGTGGATTTCGGTTGTTAAATTAGCTAATATTCGTCTGTTTAGTTTTGTCATTTATGTTGGCTCATTGAGCAGATAACGTAATTTATGAGTTTCCTATGTCATATAAGTTAGAATCAGGTTTATTAGGATGCAGTATTCTGAGAATTTGCTGATTAGGGGAAATTTGGCTTCAGATAATTTTGTTGTAAACAGAAGATTTAGAAAGCGTGAAATAAAATATGCACGAGTGCTATGTTTCAGATTTGAAACCAAATAAAATCCAAGTATTTTAGCCATAAATACGGGGTTAAAATAATAGAGAAGTGTCTCAGATTGATTCAGATTTTCTATTTGTATTCTCAGCGATCTAGCAGAACGATTGTGAATATGCCGACGGGTGAAATATTTGCAGAAATTGCGTTGAATTAGCGCATATTTCTAATGTCACACTTTCAGATAAAGAGGCAATTGAGACTTACAATTATGAATATGATGAGGCTGATCTTGATAAAACACGTAATTTCCAGAACGATATTTATGTAGCTAAGATTTTGAGCCTAAAAAATCAGACCATTTCAGCATTTTGCCGGTTGGAATTTATATGGGCAGACAATAGCAATCTAAAAACAAATCCAAAGTTGAAACTTAGTCGTGTTTTGAAAGTCCGAGGGCGGAGCCGTTCACCCAGACAAACAGAAACCTAATTCAACGTTCGAGGGAGGAAAGTTTTTCTCTTGCTCCGAATTTTTGACAACACCATAAAGATATTGCAATCCACTCAAAAACCAATCTATACTAATTGTGGACCAAAACAATAAATGTATACACAAAAACGGAATTTGCCTGAACACAAATGCTGCAGAAAACTATCGCTGGCCGTGTTTTTTATAGCGTCTTCCAGAGTGGGGGCAAAGTCGATCGAGAAATTCAAACGAAAGTCTGAAGTGGAAAGAGAAGACATTCAGTCAAAAAAATATCGAAATCGTAAAAATGTAAATAAACACACAAATTGCCAAAGATTTTTCTACTACCAAAAAACTTGGTTTCCAATTTTTTCGCATCGTAGCGTAATTAAAATGACTTTCACGCTAAAAAGTCGTTATCTGATAAAATAGGTAACAGTAGGTAAATGCAAAATTATTTCGATGTAAAAGCTAGATTTTCTATATTCTTGCATTTTAATATATATGGAAATTCAAAGTTTCAAAATAATTTTACAGAATTAGGTAAACGAAAGTGTCAAGAGACAACTCATATGCATTTTCTAAATATTTTGACTTGCGAAACTACCTAGAGTGCAAAAACATGATCTATATTAACATTTGTTTACATTTTAATGCGCCTTTTATTCATAATTGGAGTTTTGAATTGAGCCATGAAATAAGTTTGACACTCCCATTAATATTTCAACCATCGTAGTATATATACTGGCCATGTTACAAATAATTGCAGATTAAAAAAACATACATGTGATATCTTACAATTAGTCTTTTCCGGGCACAAGTTGCACTAGTGCAACATCCGGTAAATCCTCCCAGGGAGTCGGAGTGTCGAAAATTTTTAAAAATTTATCATATATGACCTAAAAGTATTGCTTTCACTAAATATCAGATTTTTCCCACTGCTAAAAGATAAAGGGGCCCGGAGAGGGTTAAACTCCCGACAACAATCCCTTCCATTAATACAAATCACGACGCATGAAAAGCAATATAGACTTTATTAACATGAATTTACAAGTAAGAGTTACGAGTAAGAATCTACGGCCGTCGCTAACAAACAGAAATAATAAACGTGAGAAATATTTGTGTTACAGCAATTTTGTTTTCTTTCTGCGCCTTTCTTAAGGCGTCTGGCGTGTTGAGAATTGTAGCGATTTATAAGAATGTGTTAATACAGCGTTATTTCTTTCCTTGAAACGGACACGGAACGAAATTAATCGCCGTTGTGGCGATCAAAGGAAATTGTTTTATGCTGATTCAGGAACTCTATTTTAAACTCCTGACACAATCACGACGCACTGAAAAGCAATATAGACTTTATTTAACATAAATTAACAAGTAAGAGTTACCGGTAATAATCCACCTACGGCCCTCGGTAACATGCAGAAACGATAAACGTGAGAAATGTTTGCTTTACAGTAATTTTGTTCTCTTTCTACGTTTTTTTTTAGGCGTCCGGCGTGTCACGATTCGTAGGACCGGCTCATGTGCGATTTTTTATGAAATCGCCGTTTTTAGGGAGTTGGCCTATTCGCGATATAGGCGTAATTTCGAGTAAATATGGTACCTCCATATTGGGGACCTCCACAAAAGTATGTGCACCAAGATGGCGCTCAACCTGAACATAGTATGTGTACCAGATTAGGGTTCAGGTTGTGCGCCATCTTGGTGCACATACTTCTCGAGCGCCCATATTGGTACACAATACACACGCTTCTGGAGCTCCGTTGATTGATAATATCTTTACTTTTTGTTCTTGATTTTCATACCTGTTTCATCAAATTGTAATATTGTAATTTCTCTTTTGTTTTAGAATCTGATTGCAATGGATGCAAATGGGTTGTCTGATCCATATGTCAAACTTCATCTTCTGCCAGGGGCTACCAGGGTATGTATATTGTCATCAGTTGCAATGTTGGAATTTGTTATTAACTTGTGTAACTGTTGTGTGTGAAAATATATTAATAAGTAAAATTAATTGTGTGTTTTTAACATAAGTTTAAACAATTTTCTGCAATTGGATTGATATTGATATATTTGAGGTTTTGGACTAAGAACCATCAATTTTCTCTATTCAGAAATTTTAGTTGTAATTCATTACATATGTGGCTTTTCCAAAATTTTAAATCCATTTCAAAAACAATAATAGGCTTGAAAATGTGGTGGAACACAAATAAATGCTAATGTTTATGTTGCAATATGTATGTATATGTTTTACATGAGGTAATAGGAGATATATAATAATGAATATCAGGAATTAATGTGACGCCAGGAGGCTTCCCTGGCTGACGCTCACAAAACATAACAAAACCATATGACAGTAATTTCAGAACATTTACTTTACATTTGGAGTGCAGGTACTTTAGGTACAAAATCGTTTTTCAAGTTTTGTAAATCATGGCATTTTTATCAATAACCACACGCCTGGTTCAATTAAATCATTGGCTTCATAGCAATCGGGTTACGTGTTATCTCAAGGTCCAAACAATTTATCACTCAGCCACTATGAGGCTACTAGCTTTATAAAATGTTATTGTAGCTCATCTTACCCAATTTTCTACATCTTTGTAAAATGTTGGAAATCTGCGAGCCACGTCTGGAATCCGAGATGTTTGGTAACCTCATTGCAAAATAGTTAGACCAGTGGTTTAAGTTACTGGGTCATTGTTGTTCCGCAGTCTTTTTTATATTCATTGGGGCTTACTGTTAGGATTAAATTTACTTATATTAACTAATCGATTATTGTGATACTGTTTCAAAAAGGATAAAAAAGCAGATGTAAGTATTATCTCGTAGAGAGATAGATTTGGTGATAATGATCTAAACACCCGATAAAAATTATCCTTTGCCAAGTTTAGACCATAGATGGCACCACCATGCTTCATCGATGGACTAAACTTGGCTCGGGGTAATTGGGTATAAATACATCAGTTTATTGTAACATATAACCACTGATGTATGCTTGCTTGATTGTAGTTTCATTTTTCTAACAATAACAAATGCATGGAATTGGGAACATAACTTGGAGGATTTGTTTTATATTGTATTTTGATGCCTTCAGGGCTCATCAAAAACCTACATATGGTGTTCTAATCATTTATAAAACGTTGATGTTCAGCTATTGTTGTTATATTCAATTACGCTTTTGCCTCTGACATGTTCATCTGATTACTGTTCTCATACTCAACCTGCACTCATAACAAGACATGGGTCTTTTACCTAAGCAGTGTCATACCCCATAGGTTTTTATACATCAAATGTTTTCTTAGTATAATTGACAAGTGAAAATGGGTTTTCAAAATTTAGTTTTTTCAAAATTTCCGGACAACTTTTTTTGCTTTTCCTTGTATCTATGTTTCAGTAGATGCTTCATATATTTCAAAAATAGATCATTCTAACAAATCTTAGTGACATCATAGCCTAGACTTTTGGTGAACTTTTAGCGATTCAAACTTTTATTATGGTACTTGTTGATTTTGTACGATAAATGTTAATATAATTTTTTTTTGTTATATTGAAATAGGACCACTTCCAACATAAGGATAATAAAATGTTTATCAAACATATCTGAACAAAATTTGTGCAAATTTATCTGTTGCACATAATTTGATTCCACATGTATTCCATATTCAAAAATATTTTGTTTGAAATGTTTTCCAAACAGTCAATTTTTGGTCTTGACCATCTCTGGTGAATATCATTATCATACTTCTTTTGATCTGGTGATTTATTGCATGAATTTTATTTTATGATACAATTGGTATTTTAAATGAGGCATAATTGTATATTATTTTATGGATCCACATGAAAAAAGTATATCTACCTTCACATAAGATATGCTCATTCCGTGTTTACAAAAAACAGTAGTTCAAGTTTTATGCGGCTATCTGTGATGTTCCCATTGTTCCATTTCCATAAGGTAGTTTACTGTAATTTGTCAATCATAAGAGCCTTGTTCGCATGATATGTTTATCATTTTAGAGCTTCAATCTAAAACATATAAATTTCTTAAATCCTGTTAGACTATAAACTAAATTTCTGGAAAAAATAACCTTATGTAGGATGCAACCTCATGTATTTAGTGTATCGAATTAATTTAGATATTTACTAACTTAGGTACATATATTATAATACATATAAACATCGTTCTGTGGTAATATAAGTTGATTCCTGACTTAATATTCTAAATATTGTTGGTAATGCCTATTAAAAAATTCAGTTTTTGGTGTGTTTTCAGAAATGTTGCTTTGGTTCGACTTTTATCGATTCTAATTTATAGAATATTTTATTAATTATTGTATAATTTTCAGGCAACTAAGCTTCGAACAAAAACTAAAAACAAGACTCTTAATCCTGTGTTTGATGAAACTTTGACATACTTGGGAGTATTAGAGCATGAACTTGCTACAAGACAATTGCTGCTAACAGTGCTGGATGAAGACAGGTTAAGCTTTATGTTTTTTGCATATATCCCTTCAACTAAAACTGAGATTTGTATCCAGGTATCAGAATTCACTGTGTGTGACACTTTAGCATTTCGTATCAAATAATGTAGGCCTATCTCCATCTCTATTGGCGCCAGCTGCAGATGTACTTTGTGCATATTTTATATATGGTAGTTTACAAGAAGATTGGCAATTATTGTTAAATTGACTTCAGGCAATAAATTTTGGGAAGAAGTACCTCCAATAAGGAGATAGCTAATTTTGTTCGCCTACTTTACATCAAGTTGTGTAAAGAGACTGAAGCCTATGGGCAGGGGTATATTCACTTGGCTAACAAAGACAGTTCCTGACTAACATAAAGAAAATCAGAATAATTTTATGACCCAACCCTTACCTGGTACACATACTACACATACAAATTTTGAGTATTGTTACACTGTTCAGACTTTTTTATTCTACCCTGACTATTGTTTGAATCAGGTTTTTAAGTTTACCAGTGTTTATGAGAACTTCCTGTTGCATTCAGGTTTGGCCATGATTTTATTGGAGAAGTAATTGTACCATTAAAAAGTGTTGTTGCTACTCAAAAGAAGACATACTCCTTGCCTCTGCGATCTTCATATGCCGTGAGTATGAATATATATTCATTGATGTTATAAAATTAACATAGTTTTATTAGATGATTTGTACCATAATACCTGGGTTGTTACTGTATAATACTTGCAAATCTGGCTTTTCGTTACGGCATTCCATAATTTCTGACCTATGCAGCTCAACCCTAGAAATTAAAATTTTGAACACTGCTTTATTTTGTACATTTAGTTCCGTGGTTCCAGAACTTTTTGTGTTATGAACTCATAAGGATTGGTTTGACTTTTTTGTCGTGAACTTACCTCAAGCGATGCATATTAATTTTAAAAGTAATACACACAATCTTGGTTTACCAATTAATAATCCCATGCCCGCCAACCATGTTGGGGGTAGGAAATGCAGAACCCAAAAGATTTTAGTTCTTTAAAAAAAAAACAGCAGCTTCTTACACTGGTGCTTGTTTGAAACGAATGGCATGAATAAGCGTTATATAAACCAAATACCTGACAAATGAATTACGCAAACTAAAAGTACCTTTCAGACTCATGGCTCTTAATGGTTTATTCAGTTGAAAGAAAAAGAAAAGAATCCAATTGATCCTGGTCGACTTTATCTCGGTCTTCGTTATTATACAAATGAACATTATCTTTCTGTAAGAATTCATCGATGCACCAGTCTAGTACCAAAGAAAAACAGCAATGATAATGTGAATGCTTTTGTCAAAGCGTAAGTCTGTAGGTGGTTTTTGAATGGAAATGTAATAATTCCAGGGGATTGCCTAGTATATTTAATATCTCATTGCATTTATTTGATAATAATTCTCAATTCAATGTATACACTGGGACATTTGATGCTACATAGACTTCAATAATCGAGATTCAATATCAAAATCGAATCGATACATATGGGTCTTGAGTGAAAATAAATCAATTAAATTCAGAGCTGAATAAGTAACTGTGGTTATCAAAATTTAATGAAATAATTTCGTTGAAATCAATTATTCCCTTCAGATCTAACATGCATTGTAGTATAATGTCACACAATCTATGTTTATAACATGTATTATAGGACATTAACCATGGATGATAATCGAGTATTCACACAAAAGACAGAAGTGAAAAAGAAAACTCAAAATCCAGTATTTGATAGAGAACTGAAGTTCAAGGTTTCACCAGAAACTGGACAGGCTGATTTAGCTCGCGGATCGCTGTTGGTATCGGTTATGAATAAGGGCCAAGATGTTATTGGTAAGTCATCATAGATTGCAACGTTGTTTGGATTGCAATGCCCTTTGTCTCGTAATAGTTGTTATTATGCTCCCACTACAGAAAGTGTCTGGCCTGGAGTCTATTTTTCATATTACACTCACAACACACTGGAATAGACAGTAAGAGGGTAAATTTTAATTTTAAAATTAAAAAAAAATTTAATTTTAAAATTTACCTAGGGGTAAACGAGGGAATAAAGGTTGAGAAAGCCTGCTTTAAGCTAGAGCTTGATTTTTGGATTGTGTTTGCCACAATTTATAAAACTGTGCAAAAAGTGGTGCCAGCTATATCATAAACAATAATTATTGAGTTAAGAGTAGGCTAAATTCGGCGCATAGGATTCCATATTCTCCCGGAAGACTGCTAGTTGTTTTAATCAAAAGGTGAACCACTGCTTTAGTCCATCAATAAATTCAAGTTTAATATTGGGATGTTCGGGCAGCTGAATTTCTAATGTGTGAAGATGGTTAGTGAAGCACACTTTGCTTAACTAGAAATGCCAAAAATCTTGCAATCTCTTTGCCAAGTTGCTTTCTCGGTCGGTGGTTATGTGGCTAACATCTTCAACATAACGTGCCAACCTGTGAAATTTATATCATATCATACACATATTGAATATGCTATTTATCCTTGTAAAAATGTATACAGTAGTGTGGATGTTATTATTTTTAAATTTTGAGCTGAACGTTGTTTGCGAAGTTCATACTCTTGCAACATCTCTTCTTTTTAGGTTCAGTAGAACTCAGTATCAATAGTAAGGACGAAGCACTGAAGCAATGGTATAATTGCCTGAAGAGTAAAGATCAGCAATTCAACTCATGGCATATATTGTCTAAATGAAGCAATACAATCTATAAATTTTCATGACAAATAATCTATAGTTCAGGTATTAATGTAAGATTTCACCAGAAGTGCCTGATTTTTTTGTTAGTATTCATTGAATTATGATGCAATGATAGCAATATATATTCATTAGCATTGACAGCATTGAATTTTTTTTATAATTTATTCAGTTTGAAAGCACTTTATCAGTTTCTTTTCTGGCCTGACACAGTATGATGTAGTTATATTCCATTCCAATATGTTTTTCTTTTTTCTAACGCAATTGTTCATTACTGCTGCTTGCTGTCATAGCTCTAGTGCAGGTGGTCAATGCATTTTAGCGGAAAATCTTATTAAAGATTTCCAATTTTTATCTTCTTAACAAAAAAGGCAAACAACATAATAATGTTCATATAGGCATCACTCTATTCAATTTCAAACATGAGTAATATTTTGATATATATCCCACAAGGATTTGATTTCTATATGAAGCACAATGTTTTTATGTGTCTGAAAATCTTGTTTTTCTTTATTTTTATGCATTTTAGCAATATTTGGGCACTTTAGGCTCCAGATGAATAAATGCAAGGTTTAATCATGTCTCATAGCTTTCATTTAATGTATTTGCACATTTATTCATAAGTACACACTTTCACTTTATTTTTCAGCATCAGTAACATTTTTGTATTCAGTCATTCACAAACGAAGGTATTAACAAATGTACTTTAGAATGACAGGTGTACGTACAGTACCATGGCAAACCAATGTATTCTTACTGTATTTAGCATTCTTATCACTGTCTATTTAATCATCGTGTGGTTGGGAGGCTTCATTTACTTTATCATAATCTGAAAAGAAATATATCATTTCAAACAAACTACAGTAATGAGTTGCAATTGTGTGATGGGAAAAGGATAGGTGACAGCATTATGAATCACATAAAAACGGGGCTTGATATCTGAAGCAAGTGTTTTCCCCACTGTGTTCATTATGTAATGCCAGACTGTCTAATTTTGTCTTAGTAAGTAGTGGTGTTTGGTAATTACTGTCAATCAGAACCATCTATTGGTTGTTGACATGGAGAACTGGTTGACTAGCGTTGATCAAATTAAGTAAGAGGGTTCTAAACTAAAACTTTCCTTTTGCATAACCGGCTCAAAGTAGTAAGTAATCATTGCGTTGGTACTGGAGTTTTTTAGTTTAGTAACTGCAGTCCTAAACCTGTTCCGTTTTGGAACTGAAGTCTTCTCGAGTAATATAACTGCAAATCCCAATGATTCAAAAAGCTATGCATAAATGATTCCAAGCAATAGTTCTTTTATAATATTCTTTTTTTTTGAAAAATAGGTATAAAATGATATAAGATAAAGTGTCCACCCATGTCAAAACATTTTAAGATCAGATAATGATCGTTAATCGACAGCTGTTTCACCCAACTACTGGTTGGTCCTGTATTTCAACTCATTGCAAAATATATTCACAATTGCCTTATACATATGTATATATCAGGAAATGGAATTCAAGCTCTTCTGGAGATTTTTTTTTCACTGAAACCTCCCCACTTCATCAGGTTGGTTATGCTCTTCCACAAGAGGTGTGTTCATATTTTCAAGATCGATAAATTGCTGCAATCTGAATTTTGTTGCTTGCTGTCTGGTCATTGCAGAAAGTGTGGAGAGACCACTTAAGAGTTCTATGACAATCATTAGTAACAAAATGGTATGCATAACACCTTCCATTGGTAATAGTATAACATCTGGATGAGCCAGGAGTATCAAAATTAAAACGATTTGAGGAGCGCTCAACAACAGAAATCCTGCTAATTCGGGAACCTAAAAAAATGGAATTAATGTTAATATCATAACTATTTGCTACAAATGGATCATTTGGATAGAATGCACATTGATGAAAAGCAAAATATAAATTTGGAAAATTAAGGCAACAGGCCTACTAGTATAACCTATCGAAAGTTAATGGATTTTGGGTTCAGAGCCTATGCTAACCCCATCCTTATTTGGAGCAGCGAAAATATTCCATAATGAAATACAGTCATAGCCAGGGAGCCTGAGGTGCCATGACCCCCCCCCCCCAATTTTCGCTATTTTTCTCAAATGCCAATTTGCAGTAATACATAAATTCATATGCCCTTTCCAACACCATTTTGCTCTATTCTTGAACGATTCATTGAAAACCGGATGTTTCCTAGCTTGCTATCAATAATCCTTTTACCAAATGAAGCAAACGAGATAGATGAAAATGCGTGCTCATATGCCTTTAATAACACGGGAGTGTTTCTTTGAGATATTGATATATCAGTGGCTTTTTATCTCGGTTTGTTCGGAGCAAAAGGCACGAGGAAGCGTTGTATTACGTCATTATACGAAAAAAATTTGCCCCCTTCCAAAATTTGGGGCTGGCTACGCTATTGACCGATAGCGATGAAAATATCATAAAAGCATACAACTAAGATTCGTCTAGGCACATAAATGAAAAAAACTTTGTAAAGCAGAATCCATACTGGTGTTTAGTACAAACCTTTTCTTGCAAGTTTCCAATGTATCCGAGATACAATCGTGCAATTTCAATTAATGTGTATAGAATCAACATAGCAATTAATATAACTCTAAATGTGCCTCCGAGATAAGAATACTTTACTCCAAGCATAACACAGTAAGTTGTGAACCAGAATGGAAAGAGATAGACATTGAAATACATTGTCATTTGAAGGGGTAGATTTGTTAGAATTTCATTTCCTGACAAAATAACAATATATATTATTTAATATTATTAATATGGAAAATCGGAAAAAATATGTAATTTGAGAATTCAGAAAAGATCGCCTCAATAGTAAATCATTCCTTAAATAATATGGTAGTTATGTCAAATATTAACTTTGATATTGATAACTTGATACAATAAAAAAATTCCCAATGATGAAATTATTTATATTGGTAAGGATAAATGTAGAAACAGTGCTGCTATCAAGTATTGAAATCTATATTATACAAATAAATAAATGTCTACCGTTTTTCTTCACTCAAATTCCATAACTTTTGATTTAATAGTACTTGTACGTCTTTCTATAATAGGCAATTCACAACTCTTGAATTGATATAGGTTACCTGGTAATTGAGATGTGAAATTATCATATTTTGAATTTCCCTGCATGAAGAGTTTGTTGGATAAGTTTGACAAAGCTTGGCGCATGTGAGGTGTCAAAACTGGTGGTCCTGATGTGACAGAAGCCATAATTAGTATATTTATGAAGTCAGTTTCTGCAACAAGTAAGATGTTTATGGTAGTTGTAAGTATCTTTTTATTTAAAAAAGATTCGTTATTTAAGAGGAAACACTAACCCTAGAAACCTAACGGTTTTTATCACAAATACTTGTTTTACAGCAAAATGCTTTTGCGGCGATTTTTCATGCTCATCACAAATACTTGTTTTACAGCAAAATGCTCCTGCGGCGATTTTTATGAACACGGTATTCAGAGCTGTGGAGTTAGTATTAAGCCAGATTTTTTATGGTTTACAGACTTTCCACTCCATGGACTCTTTGCCACAAAGACTCTTCCGACTACAAGATGATTTTAGTTTATGGTTTTGATTGGGATATCAGAATTAAAATACTCATAGGGTACCGGTACTCATCCATTTATGTAGACTAGGATATAAAATAGGATAAATGAATTTCACCAGGTTGTAATATAAGTATCAAAAAATGAGGACGATAAAAGTTTCACATGAAATACTGGTATACATTACATACACGTAAATAAAAATTAATTTCATTTTTTTACTTGAAATATGTAATTTTTGCCACTGTCTGAGCACTATCAAGATTTATCAAGTCTCATTTGTCAAGTATTCAACTTAAAAATACAACTATAGGGTCTAGTATAGTTTAGTACCACAGGTACTTCCAGTGGGCGTAACATAACGAATTTTGCATATGTTATTCCTAACCCCCACCTGACTATGCCATCCAAATATTACGTCACTACGACGTCGCCATCACGTCATAGGTCTTGCCAAAGTATAATTACGATCGCCCGAAATGACATCTGCGCCGCTGATAACGAACTCGCTAAAGCCGGCGATTTCTCAACTATAGACCCCAACTATATTTGTGTCAGCCCAGTAACAAGACTATTAATCTCAGAATCTTAAATTTGACCTAGCTCTGTTATGCCGTCAGTGCGTTGGTTTGCCAGACCCAGGCCCAGACCAGCAGACCCACAGGGCATACCGGTAACCTTCATATTTGAAAATATCCGGATACGGTATACACTGAAAGATGAGGTTGACAACTATTTATTGCGATCACTTTGGCCATACTGCACTAAAAGACATAATTATCTTTAATATAACAATATCCAAAGAAGACAATTTCCAATCCGAATTGAGTTTAAAGTGAAGTGACGTTGATGTTACTATGGTGACAAGTGTAGTCTACGACTGATTAGTCTAGAATCAGAAGTGGTGCATAAATTGCTAAAACCCACGGGTTTGAATTAGAGACATTTACAATTTAACCTATCTTGTATATTATCATATATAACTAATATATATTATAACTGTATTATTTTGCATGCCCCAGCTTAAGCTCAATTTTGAGATTTTGCATTTTTTTTGTATCTTATACCGTAAATATATACTAGGCTACTACGCTTATACACAGTTGCTCAAATTTATTTTGCTCCTTTGTAGTGATCTAGTTTAATGTCTTTATATATATGCTGCCTTAAGTCTTTCACCATTTACACAAAATGTTATTATGTATTCTTCATCTTGAAATACCCGATTCCACACAATTGATGCTCCATTTACTCAAAAATACATATTGATGTCAATTATGACCAATACCACACTTGATCAAGTGTGTAACTTGTCCGAAATTTTATTTAGCTTCAAACGCTTATATGTAATTGCCTGTTGTGTATATGTAACTATTTTTTTTCTTTCCTTACGTTGTTTCTGAACACACCTGAAATATGTTAAATCATATCTGAAGCATTTTTTATTCATGTCTATTGATATTAATATTGGGTGGTAACTGACTCCGATGCCCGTATCGTTGCCACCAAGTCTGTACCGAAAACTGTTTTGCTTTTTATTAATTATGTCTATGTTGTGTACATGTTTTCTAGTGGACAAAACAAATAAACTCTCTCTCTCTCTCTCTCTCCCTCCCTCTGTTACCAACAAAAATCAACGGAAAGTGTAATTTGCAGTGTTCCATAAATTATATCGCGGTAATCAGTTTTATTTATTTTGTTTTTATCAATTATTTTATCGTCTTTTATGCTGATTATGGAGTCGAAATAAACTTATACTTATTTCCATACGTGTATAAAAGTAAAACATCGTGCAATACAAGCAATAAACGATGCGTTCCTTCCTAAAAACTTTATTCTTCAAATTATTATGTTAATAAATATTATTAATCAAAAATTGGTAAAAGTTAAGCTCTGAGCCAGGGGTCACCAAACTGGGGTACACGTATGGTAGCCTACCCCGAGAGGTACTTTTCGACGTTTCAATGGGTATATTTGAACAACGTTCTCCGTGGCAGTTTGAGCGACGATCACAGTGTAGGCCTAGTTTTCCGGGGTAAATGTTTCTAAACGTGTATATGAGTTTCGTGAAGAATTTCAGGGATTTTTTCAGCAACTCAACAAATGAAAAAATATTGTCAATTCCTTAAAGTATGATTTTTTTATTTTGATTCTAAACTCAAGCATTGTTGTTGTTTCCATCAACTTGATTGTGTGAGTCGGCATTTTTAGTGCTGCTCAAAATGCATATCACAGTTCAAAGCACCTGAACGTGATTTTAGTAATGAGCTCGCCCATCACATTAGGATATGATTTACATATTTATCCCAGGTGAGAGGGAAGCCGATAAGACAGCTCAATCATATGGAGAACCACGACCACTCCTCCGGTTACCAGATATATTGTTACTTTGATTGTAGTGTTTGTTAAGCTTGGGATTACATTGTTATGAATAACTTTAGCGCAAATTTGTCATCATATTGAACTGAAATAATCAATTTTATAGATTCAACAAATTAAAAGGTAATATAATGGGTTGCCTAGATATAGAAAATAAGTTGTGCATCAGAGCAATTTGAGGTTAGCGGTCAAAACTTTTGGGGGTACGCGAGCGATCTATAAATTGTCCAAAGAGTTTAAGCTGTAATGAAACCTCATGGTCCCAGCTAACAGGACGTCATAATAGCAGTTTTTTGTCAAGAGCTTCACTGCAGTGCAATTTTCTACTACTGTATTTACTAAGTTGAGTTGAGTATTTGCTGCGAATGAAATTGTTTTACGACGCTCTTGGAAAATTTAAAGACTCATTCAGGCGTTTGAGAACCACGGATATACACGTACGCGTATATTCAATCCAATTAAAATTTTGTTTTAACGTTCTTTAATATTCTTCACTTTTCCTTAATTTTAGGGTGTGCTTTGCGTCTCTCTTGTTATTTGAACATTCACTTTATTCGAAAACAATCTTCGTAACCAATGACGATTGTTGACAATTTGGAATCCCAGCGCACTGGGCGGCGATTTACCTCCGTCTGTTGTGAATTTCGTTTGCCAAGTTTCCACACTAAATTTTCCCCAGAAATCGTTGAATGACTATTGGATATTCTTCTAAATTCTTCTCTGCTCCAGTCATAAAAGGATGACGAAGTGCTTCTTCAGGTGTGATGCGCAGGTTAGGGTCCCATCTGTACGTGAAGTTTATAAATCACCAAGTGCTTAGATCCTAAACTTGATTTTAGGATGTCGCCATAACATAGTGGCGGTTTCATGGATAAGTACGCACGGAAAAACACCCAAGAAAGGTGTAGTCTGATGTATGAGATGACTAGACAAACACACACAACGTTTTAAGTGATTTTCAACAAAACTTACTCGAGGCATCTGCAAATCAGGTCAATTAGCACTAAGTCCATTCCTTCCAAAACTTTCAACAACGGTCTACTGTAAGGCTTTCGATGTGTCCCTTTATCGTGAATTTTGTGACGAAAAGCATCTAGACAAACATATGAAAAAAACAAAGATGAAAAATTAAAAGAATTAATTAGTTAGCAATGTAGGTTGCAAAATCCCTGATGCAACAAGGAATAAGAATGTGGGCAAAGTAATGGCATTCAGCGTTTATCCCTGTATCGAATCGTTGAAACTGTTTTATTTTTATCATATATATATACTTCGTATAAACAAGAGAGCAATGCTCAGATATATGGACACGAAAGCCAAAACGAAGTAGTAATTTTGATGGTGTCCTCGTAAACAAAAAACTAATCTCATAAAGCTTCCATAGAGTCTACACAAATTTTTAAAATAAATAAAAGTAATAGCCTTCTAGCAACAGTACAACCACTGAACATTTTAAAGCAATTGGTCCAGTAATCAGAAAGAATTTTCATAACAACAACAAAAAAGAAATACTAACGGCAACAACGACATTATAATAACCAAACGATCCATAAGTAAACGTGGTGTCAAATAGAAGTATAAAACAAAACAAAAAATGTAGTTTACAATAACTACAGTATTTTTTAGTAGATATCATCACTTCAGCCAATGCCTAGACAAAGTTTATAAACGTAGTTACCCCAATAGATGTGCTTTCTAGGTGACCTTGCAATCATATGACTTGGAGGAAGCCCAAGTACTTCCATCATTGCTCCTAAATGATCTTCCTCATTATCTTCGCCAAAAAATGGAGGCTGACCCAAAAACAGTTCTGCCAGACAAACCCCAAAACTGAACATGTCAATCTGGGTTGTGTGTGGCAGGTGGAAAATTATTTCAGGAGCACGATAAGGTCGAGTAATAAAGTAATACATATATCCACATTCTGTGAAAAGATAAGTCCAGTTTCAAAGGCATTTCATATCATTGTTTTAGTTTATTTCACCAATTGTTTAAAAAGTTGATAAATTCATGAACTTTGTGCAACAAAAAATATAATAATATAATTTTGATATCATATTTTCAGAAAGACATACTTGGCTGACCAATAATGCAGCTTCCTCCAAAATCACCTATTTTTATCAGTTGTCCATTACTTTCAATATTTTTTCCATGAATATACATCAGGTTGTGCTGAAAACATATACAAACCTTCAATGCTTTATTGCTATGGTTTAGCACAGCGGATAATTTCTCATGCGATTAATAAAAGGAGCTGGCCTACAAACTCCCCGCAGTTTCGTGTCTCAAACCTCAACGACCCGTTTTATTATCTTTCAGCGCATATAAGCAGATAATATTATTTGATAACAATGCGAACTGGAATGGATTAGTAAATATTCTTGAAAGCTGAAGGATAGAGAACATTTTATTGTACATATTCACCCACTATAGTTATTGAAGATCAGAGAATCGTTACTTATGTACACAAGCTATATACAAACAACAGTATGGATTTGTATAAAGTTCTCTTTAGTTTTTATTTTCAAGAGTTGTTGCTGAACACACACCTATAAGCAAACTGGTGAGAAACTAATACTAAAGACAACTCAAATACAATAAAAAAGAGCCTGGCACAAAACTGATGCATTATGTGCCACTGAATTTTAGTTAGTCAGCGACTTGGATTAGCAAAGTTCTAGTGTACTCCCAAAGTGCGGTTTCTCGTTGATTAAAATTGCTAATTCTCACTATCAGGTAAGATCACACACTATGGTAAAATTGTAAATAATTAACAATAATTTTGCAACATGGCAACATGTGACAATATAATGCATTTACCAGTTTAAAATCTCCGTGCACCACACCGATTTTTTTGAGAATACGCAAACCATGCAAAGCATCAATTGCATATCTTCGTATTGAAGTTGTGTTTCGCACAGAGTGTTTTAAATATTTTAAATCAATAGTTCCCCTGTGAAGTACAGTAAAGTTTGGTAAGTGAACAATACATGTAAAAGTAGAATAATGCTGCATCTAAATAGATAGCATGCTATGTATAGAAAACACATAACATGTTATCTATTCATTAAGCATTTTAGTAAATCAGAATAATAGAGCAATGCTCATATATTTGGATGAACACGTACCGCCTCAGCTTTTTAACTTGTTTTTTTTTGCTGAAAAGATCGGTGGAGAAATGTGACGGCGACCTGACATAAGCCAGCAATTGCTTCGGAAAAATGTGCTGCTATATCATAAAAAGTGTTTCAATGAATATAAATTTTAAATATAATAGCAAAATTTTGAGTGAAATATCGCACTTGAAAAAAAAGAGGATTAATATATTATATATCCTTTTAGCGGATTCAAGTAGTAAAATTTAACATCGACTGATGCAATAGTTGCAAATTAGATTTTTTTCACAACATCAACTCCCGAGAGCGCACGAACTCCCTTATGTAATCATAGAAACGAACAATTAAATGTAATAATATAAGCTACCTCTTTCAATAAAATACACTATATTTTATTTCTGAGACAAATACTGACCCTAACAATTCAAAAACTACGCAGAGATGGTTGCGAAATTCGAAGGTTGCTAACATGCGTGTAAAATAATCCAAATTGGGAGCGTTGGAACTGAGGTACTGCAGAATGCCTACTTCTCTCCAGTAAAATCTTGACGTGCTGAAAAATACAAAATAAATTTTAAAAGGGGAGTAATTCAGCGTCGAGGAAGTGACCACTTAGCGATAAATTAAGAATCCGTCTGAAAAATTCGTTCGTGAATGCACGAAAGTCGGCTTTACATTTAAATAAATAATCAAGAAACGTATCACGAATGACGATACGCCCTTCTGTGCCGGCGTGTCACATGCAAAATATAATGAGTGCATATTAGTTTAAAAAAAAGTGGAATGGTATTTTGTGAATTTGTTATCGGTTTATCAATAAAACCGCATTTAATTATAACTTACTCACCCGTGACCTTTAACACGCATGATTTTGATGGCAACATTTTTTAAAATTGGATTTGACCAGTCTCTTGCTACAACAACATCGCAATGATAGCCAGTATCAATGTATTTGATAATTTCATATCTGTAACCGATATGATCACCAGGGACCTTAAAATAAAAGAACAAAAAAATTTGAATTGATTAGAACATGCAAAAATATAAAGTGGAGTTTTCTCTTCATCATGTAATAATAATCAAACTAGTATTCTGTCAACTATCCGTTTGGGTTACACGAGATCCATTCTTGCCGCATACCTTTGCTCTGGTGGATTCGCATGCATATAATACACAGACGCTGTAGGGATTATGACTATTCTACGTGAAACAGGAGTTTTGCTGCACGCTAATAAAATGTTGTCTGACCGAGTTTTGAAATCTTCAGATAAGTTCATCTCAAATATGGCAAGACAATATAGCATGTTCTTTCAGTTTTGTCCTAACACTTCTATACGTTATATTCTTGGAGGTTGGGGAAGTGTTTCCGTTTTATCAGTATCGTCTAGTATTTTTTGGTTAGTCCAAGAAAATCTTTTAAAAGTTTGGTTGAATTGTAATTGGTAACATTTTCATCAAAGTGATGAAACCATAAGTAGTGATTAGGTTTATTTCGACTTGATAATCAGCACACCCAAAGTCAACGAATGAACCTATGTTTCGGAGTTGATTTTATAAATGACCCGTAATTGATTCGAAATATTTTACGACTCCATAGACCCAAAACTAATATATTTATGTATTACCATTTTATAGTGACCTCCGACGTCATAATTTCCCTCAGATTCTTTTTCAACCGATGTATCAAAATCAAATCCAAAATTGTTTTTGCCGTCTTCTTTCAATTGAGATTTGTTGGCATTCAATCCGAGGTAATATACTTTTGGATAGTTGAGAATTTCATATTTCTCCCAGTATGGTAATTTACTCCCAAACCTCCGTATTGCCTCTGTGATCAATGAGAAGTATTTATCAAATCGTGTACCACGTTGTGTCCCTGATTGTGTCCCACAAACAAAAATATTTTAATTTATATGCAACAACTTCGTATAGCCGCTGGTTATGCGTACAGCTTTGATAGTTACAGATCATTTATCGTTTCTCTTTTGTTTGCATTGTTCCATACCCGAGGGCGTAACAGCCCTTTGCGATCCCGCGACATGGCAGAATGCTGCCACTACAATTACAAATAACAACTCTGATTGATCATTACAAAACGGATACAAAGATTTAAAAGGCATTTTCTTCCTACAGTACACATATTGCAATTACAAAAATCTGATAAATATTTGAGCCACACCAAATCCGAACATATATATGTTATTGTCAGAGGCTTGTTCAAATATGTCCGTACCTTCTGGAGACATCGGAAAATTGTCTAGGAACGAATCTTCAACTCTGCTCTCGTTTACTAATGATTTTTCAACTTCTGCATAGTTTCTGCGTCTATAAAATTTAACTCTGCTGTCGCTTAATTGGAAAATATCATTATAAAAAGATTTCACTGTCAAGTTCAACTTTTGGGCCTGAAATGCCACTTCTGTTTCACGTATAACTCTATAATACACTTCTTCGCGATTGGCGTAGTTTAAATCTTCGTACGGATTTTCTTTGCTTGAATCTTTCACGAAGAATAACTTTTTGTCTTTATCAGCAAATTTGCTATTGATGATGAAGTGTAGTAAGGTAAATGGAACACAGGCTAGAAATGTATATATGATTTTACTTTTTGTCTTTAAGTAGAACATTCTCTATATGAAGAAAATATCTGATTAGAATTAGGATGGATAAAAGTGACAGAAATAACACAATGATAAATAAACTTTAAGTGTTATGAAGCCGAAAGCTTCACTCCGTCGATATTTCTGTTTTAGTTCTTATTACACTCTGACATTTCCCCCTCAATATTCTATCTGCATATGGTTCTCCTCCCATTAGTTTCTATTAAAAAAGGAGTTCTATTTCTAACTATTGCAAAATTTGTAAAACGAACATTCATTTGCCATCCTGATAACGATATACTTTACTTTTGTTTTAAAACCTTTCAAAACGCAATATATCCGATACAGTAATATTATAACAAGACGCTCTAGAATACTGCTAACTTTAATTAGTTTAAATTGCCTCAAGCATATTAAGCATCCAATTTTTAAACTCGAAGGTTTTATTTGCCACTTTGTCAAAAGCGCCCGCATTTTAAAATATAGTATTCGTTGTATTATCAATATTAACATAGATTCCAATCAATTTTATAATCAATTTAAGGTTTCTTTTCAATTCGATAATTCCTCGCTATTTTCCCAAAATCTTTTCGTTACTTACTTATATATATCTTGAATCAACCAAATATTAATTTGCATTTTCCTTTTACATCTTTTATTGTTTATTTGTGAATTCTAGTGACAATTTATCGAGCGATATATTCATAAGGGATCAGTGTTTTCAAATAAATTCAACCTCACCCGTGATTAGCGTACTATCTCGCCTGTAACAAGAACCGCAGAGGGTCTATTATGGCCTACCAAATGACGTAGCCAATGCCGTAGGGCGGGCCTATCATCGTATACATTCAGCGCTGGATTGCGCTCATGTACATGTGCACTTGCATACATTTACGCTCACATACCCGCGGACATTTGCACTCGTGGACGTACTCACGGTCATCTTACTCGCTAATGATTGTGTTCAGATCCGGTGTCGTCTTATCGGCTTTATTCCCTTCCTGGATAAATCTGTAAATCCTATCCTAACAAAATAACACAAACGTAGTAGGCTACAACCAGTGGTGGGATTCAGCCGGTTCGCACCGGTTCTATAAAACTGTCTCACGAAATTTTATGAGATCAGAGAACCGGTTAGAATTACTGGTTACTGTCAATGTTCTGTTTGTAACAAAATCGGCTGAAAAATATGACTTTTATGAAGGAACCGGCTGTCAAGAAATTTGAATCCCACCACTGGCTACAACCATGAATAATCATACATCGAATTTTAGGCGGTGTTCGGTTTGTTGGGAGTGGGACGCTGGCAGTTAGACATCGTATGAAAACTGTGCACAAATAAATTCGAAAGATCGAAGTTAGCAAATTGCACACTAGAAGCGTGCCTCGATAAGAATAATAATTATACGTAGATCAGAAAAAAATAGAACAATAAACGATATTGATACGGCGAAATTAAGGCTTGCATGATAGTATGTTTACGAGACTTGTCCTTGGTATTTTTGTTAATCTTACATAATAATGGTATCCAAAATTACACGCCTTTTTTATCTGTTTAAGATTTCGCGGCTAAACTAATGAGCGGAAATTTGAATTAATTATGTGTGGGTTTGTAATGCGTTCACATTCATTACTACTTTTTCGTATGCATTCGTAGACGACATATATATGATTACTTTGCACAGAGCTTATTCCTTCGTGACAAGATGTATTGTTATAACGCAGGAATACTCTTTGTAGGCCGCGAGCCGAGGCCCTGAAAAACGCCTAGAAAGTGAGTTTCGTAGCGCACATCAGGTAACTACCTGAAAATGATTTTAAAATGTTCAATAAAAATTTAGTAATAATATTGCCTTGTTCCCACTTCCAAAAGTTGCACGTTTTACGGAAAAGACGCTTTTACTACAAAAAATATGTGCTACGATCTGTCCTATATTCTCCTACATTTCCGGCAATGAACAATGACTTCTGCATGACGTAACAATTGAATCGAATCAGCTGTTAGCGAGCGCATAAATCTTAGTTACTACTGCTCGATCTTGCGTTGAGTTGGGCAGCCTTTCCATAGCCCTGTTTAGTTGTTATTGGTTAAGCTATGCTAAGCCGTTGTTGAAAAGTATAAGTAAGTTATTAAACACTTGTAGATCCCTACCACGGATATGGGCCGTGAGACGAAGCCTTGAAAACTCCCAGAAAATGAGTTTCGTAGCGCACATCTGGTAACTAAATAAATTCTTCAGTTTTGCGTGAAAATGAACATACTGAACGCATTACAGCTTGTTCCACAATACTGATGCAAAATTGGATATATGAGGTTCCCGGAAATTCAATAATCATACGTTTACAACACATACATAAGGACTATGCAATTCGAGAGCCCTACAGCACACTAACACAAATGTATTCCTGTAACGTTTTGCCTGACCAAAATCAGACTTCCTCGGTCAATTATAATTTATTAGGTAGATTACGAAAAATATGGCATACATGTAACCAACAACAAAAAATACTTTAATTGTGTGACAGAAGTCGCGAGTGACCTCGAAAAGTCTTCAAGCAGCGACACCAACAACGCTGATTCACATTAGCGAATAAATTTTATGTAATAACCACAAGCAGTTTACAACAAGAACAGCATAAAAAGCTACATCCATTTTATAGAAGCTATCAAACGTAGGAGAAGGTGGGGCACGTTGGGACATGGGGCACAGTGGAAAATCAGCTCTCACACTGATACTATATCCGCAATCCTGTCCGCAGTTCGATGTTTCAATCCGCCCTTCGGTGAGTTACAACGTCCCCGCGAACGGACGGGGAGAGCGGCGCAAGCTATGAGGTGAAATTGGTTTTGGGAGGTTGAAACTAAAATTTCACCGTTCCAGTTTTTCCTTTTT